TTGCGACAGCCCTGTTCCTATCCTTTCGTTTCAAGAGGTTTTCTCGATATTTTCCTCTCCCATTTATCCGGGAAAAATAAAGTTCGGTGGCGACTCTGTCGAACCGTATTTCCGCGCCTTTCGCGCGAGGGTCGTTTCTCCGAAATATCTCCGCGATTTTTCGAGGTGCGACAACGGCCTTTGGTTATGTGTTGCAGGTGACTTGTACAGCTGATCTGAAAGTGCGTCTGGAATCAATATTGCCGGCGAAATTGTTGGCGCAAATGCTCCTTCGGCGAGGACTAAAGGCTCCGCTTCGACGGTAGTAGAACAACAAGGTTCACACATTGATTTTGCAAATGGATCGGTGAAACTAAGGTAGTCATTACTAACGTGTTAGGATAACTGCGTCAGCGATATCATGACCAGAAGTAGTATCTATTCAGTTATGTGTGTCTTTCCTGTCTGCTCCAATTATTTCAAATAATACAATTTGATTTCTTCTTCGAAGACTAGTTCCATAACACCAGTTCTGTTTAAGAATGCAGGTGGGTTGCTGGCGCTTTGAATGATGTGTATGGCGGCGTTTTGGAAGTGTCAATTTTGATCTCCTCAAACTCGATTTCGTTCAACCTGCAGAATGTAAGAACTGCTCGAGATGGTTGGGACATATGATCTGCATACACCTTCAGCCTCTTCTCCATCACAGCTCTTTCAACTTTGAACTGAATGGCTTCGCATCCGATTTGTTGTTCTATTTGGAGTTTTCATTTTATTTCCATCACTTTCTGTCTCTTATCCAAAATTCGGTAGTGTCAAGTCAGTCAGCAGCGGGAGTCATCCTCCTCTTTGTGTTGATGATAGATCCATTTCGTAGGGTTTACAACCATGATGTTGGATTTATGATATTCTGGTATCCTTGTAAAAAGAGGTTGATCACTGATTGTAAGCTTGTGTGGCGGTACTTAAATTGTTGCTTGAAAACATGTATCCTTTGTAATAAACACAATTGAAATGTATTTGTGAAATTATTTTTTCACGCTTTCCTATCTATTCTTTGAATGGTAGAAGCTCAGACATGAATTGTGTTCATGATCTCACATAGGATTCAAATTGACATTGAGCCGCCCGTGAATTAAAAGGTGACAGAACTTCCATATTTCTTGAAATTGAAAAGCTTGAATGATGCTTTGAGTTTGAAAATTGACCCTCGGGACCACCTTTAAATGATATGAATCTCGCAACCCATATGGTACCTTAAGATCTTGAATTTCTTAAAACAAAGAAAGCTCTTATAAAAAAAGCGTTGTAGATCCTTGATCAAACAGAAACGGCATTGTAACTCGCGTGTCTTTCATCTTAATGTGGAGAACCTTATATACTTTGATCTTAGGAAAAGACTATAATACAACTGAAAATTGGGTACTTGAATTGCAAGTTCTCGCATCCGCCTTCAATTTGATCCACATGAACTGCACCAAATGTACTCAAATAGATATGAGCCAAACATGAGCCCGTGATCTCATCTCTCATATGAACCCTGTCTTGACGAGCTTTTCCCGAGATGCCTCTAAAGCAAAAAAGAAACTACACATGCTTGTTAGTCACACATAAAATTAAGAAGATAAAATACACAAGGAGGTGAAATCTTAAGGTAAAAAATTAGGGTGCGACAACACCTTGTAGTTCTTTTCGACGACCACCCTATACTGAGCAAATTACTCTTCATGCCTAGTATGTACAACACATTGGAAATTGTTGACTTCTTGCCATCTTTCATTATAATCAGAACATCACCAATACCTTCAGCTGCTAGAGTATTTTCATTTGCAAATTTAACCATATTCTTCATTGAGGACTTCATGTTGATAAACCAACATTTCCTACCAATCATGTGTGATGAGCATCTTGAGTCCAAATACCATTGGTTCTGAAATATTTCTTCATCTCTTGTTGTGACCATCAACAACATCTATTCTTCTTCATGTTTCTCTAGCTTTACATATGTTTCTTGATTCTTCTTCTTTTCTCGACACTCACTAAAATAATGACCATACTCCTGATAATTGAAACAATGAATGTGACTTTTGTCAAGTTTTTGACCACCACCACTTCCTCTACCTGCAGTACCAGCTCTTGGGTTGCCTTGGTTCCAGGTTTTTTTTATTTGACCAGTTTTCTTTCTGTTGATTTCGACCAGTCGAATTGTTGTAGCTTCCTCTACCTTTGTTGCCATTCTAACTTCCTTTGCCTTTCTTTTCTTTTTCTGACTGCGCCTGCAAATCCATATCACTCTTCGACTTTCTTGTAGCTCATTCAACCATCATTTGTTCATGAGACTCAAGCGTCCCTTGAAGCTCGTCCTTCGTCAATACTGACAAGTCCTTCGACTCTTCTATGGCTACTACCACGTGGTGGAACTTTGGAGTCAATGACCTTAAGATCTTTGCAACAATTAATCTTGATGTTAACACTTCTCCACATACCTTGATTTGATTCACCAATTTAGTAACCCTAGTGAAGAAATTTATTATACTTTCACTTTCTTCCATCTGAAGCAATTAATAGGTTCTCTTGTGAGTTTGTAACCTCGCCTCATTTACCTTCTCTGCTCCTCCATACGTCTTCTCTAGAATTTCCCACACTTCATCCGTTGATTCTACATCACTAACCTTTTCAAAATTATCTAGATAAACACATTAATGGATTATAAAGAGAGTTTTATAATCTTTCTTCTTCAATTCTTTGTGTGTAGCCTTTTCTTGATCCTTCGCGTTTTCTGCAAACTGTGCTACTTCTTCCTTCACAAGATCTCAAAGATCTTGATAACAGAAAACCACCTTAATCTGCTTGCACCAATTCTCATGATTATCTCTCTTGAGAATCAGAAGGTTTGTTGGAAAGTTCCCGTTTGGATGATTCATTGCCATCACGATTTTCCTTCCTTGAATCACAACCAGAGCTCTAGATACCAGATGTTGGAATTCAACCACAACCAATGGAGAATTACGCTCAATCTTGATCTCAAGATTAATATCAATCACACAACAATTAAGAAAGAACGGAAGAAAGAAAAAAACGTTCGAGAAGAAGATGAAATTTTACAGAGTTTCCTCTGCCCACAAATTGAGGAAATTCTCTTATTTCACTTGTGAATGCAAATTGTGAATACAATGTTATAGTTGTGTACAAAATAAGGGTTACTCCCTATTTACAGATTTAGGTTAGCTTGCACCTCAAGGCAAAACCCAAAACTATAAAAGCCCAAAATAGCTAACATTATTAAAATAGACCTAAGTCGATATCTCGTGTGATGCATTGTTAATAAAATCTCCATCTAAAAGTTAGTTAAAAATGTTCAAATATATTTCTATACTCTATTATCTAAAAATCTGTGAGTGTATCCAATTCAACAAATTTATAACAAAGTTGGATGTTTCATAGACAAACTCAAACATGCGACATTCCATTTTACTAGTAACATTCCAGCCACAAAACTATTTGACAAAAAAATTTTAAAAATTAACAAATCTTATTTTATTATTATTTTCTCTAATTAATAGGGATGACAATTTGGTCAATCTTCAATGGATACCCACAAAATTATCTACAATGAATTAAATAAAAATCCATAAAAATGAGTCCGGGCACAACCTCATGTAATTACTTACTTAAGTAAGCAGAGATGTGTGTGAATATGAATACCTTAGTACCCACCCCGCCTCATACCCGCACAATATATATTTATATATTCTAATTTATATTATTATATAAAAATAAATGTTTATAAAAACTTAAAATAATATGATATTTTATATTTGATATATTTATTTTTATTAAAAATGTGGGTAACAGATTAGGGTACAAATACTTACATACCCATAAAATACATGTATGGGTGCCAATGTTGATACTCAAACGAATATGAACTCGAGTACAATTTTTTTTTCCAACTACGAATATAAAAATGAGTACTATAATACCATACCCATATTCTACCAATTGCCATCCTACTAATTAAGCCAGATGAGATTTTATTTTTCTTAATAAAACAACTTAAAAATTGTCTAGTCTATTCTAACTTCTTTTTTTATAAAATAATCTAATGGTTTGGTTTTTACTTTTAACTTCAAAGTCAACAAGAAATACCAAATTTACACACAAGATGTTGTTCATTAGTTTTAATTAGCATTTATGCATCAGCTCTAAACAAAATATTCTCATCTACACAAAAGGGAAAGAGGTTGATATGCATTATATACCATGAAATACCACTTGCGGTATGTTTTGCAACTTAGCTCAATGTCCTTTTCACCCCATTAATAATCCTTTTCTGACCCCTCTCTGTTGTGCCCTACTTCATTCACTCATCATAATTCATTTTTGGTTAACTCTAAAGTTTTATTCCATCTTTGTCCTTCCATTTTGATTCTCTTCAAACACACACCACTAAAACAATGAGGATAGAGAGGGAAAAAATATTGAAAAATAATAAAATATTATAGAGATATGCAGTTGAGTATATGTTGTTTCAGATGCATAAATAAACCAAAACCATCATAGAAGAAAAAGGTGGTTTTTCACTTTATAAATACCATTTCTTTGCTTTCTTTTTCTTATATCTCTTTGTTCTACAAAGTTGAAAAAAGAGAGAAAATTTATATATATTCTACTTCATAGATTATAATCTGTGTAACTGTCCTTAATAAGGTTAGTGTTTGTTACTCAACAATATAATGAAACATTAGTTTCAAATCCTTTCTCTATGTTTTTCTTTTTTAAGTGCAAGAAATCAAACTTTTTTCATATGAAAACTATGAAAAATTTGTAGCTAAAAAGCTATTGATTTAAAGGGTGAAGAAGGGTTGTTCAAAGTTTTAATCTTTTTCCAAACTAGAGCTAATTTAACAATAATTTTTTTTCATGGTTTTTGTTAAGATATATAGAGACTTTTTGTTTGTGTGAAGAGAAGTGTGTTGATCATGTTTTTATTTACTTGATTCAGCTTGGAAGTTGGAACTATGAGTTTTCCAAATGAATCCATGCCTGATTCTCCTCAGAGAAAGATTGGAAGGGGAAAGATTGAGATCAAGAGGATCGAAAACACAACGAATCGTCAAGTTACCTTCTGCAAACGTAGAAATGGCTTGCTTAAGAAGGCATATGAGTTATCTGTGCTTTGTGATGCAGAAGTTGCTCTTATAGTCTTCTCGACTCGTGGCCGTCTCTACGAATATGCAAATAACAGGTAATTACCTAAGAAATTTTCAACTTTTTTGTGTTCTTTTTTGTTGTTGTTTTTCTATTTGTTTCTAGTTTTTGATGAGTCAAGAAAGTCTTTGTTGCTTCTTTTTGGGAACATTTGAGTTTATATATTAAAGCTCATCATGTTAATAGATCTTTTGATAGATTTTGTTATCTTCTCCAAAAGAGAGTAATCATTTTTTTGTTGATTTTTCCTCTTTGTATGTTTGTTTTCTGCAACCATGTTTCACTTGTGTTTGTTTCTTCTATTTTGGCCTTTTTTTTACAAAACTTGTATGAACTTTTCAAGTCCTTTCTCTCTATCTACCCTTTTTCTTTATGTCTATAAACAATTGTTCTTGGTTTGGTGACCATATAGATAGATCTGGTTGTTACTTGTTAGTAGCAAGTAGCAACAAGGTAAGAATTTTGGAAGATTTGAAACAAGGATTGTGAGATCATTCACTCAACCCCTAATTTCCTCCTCCTTCATTTTGTTCTTGATTTTTCCATTTCTCTTTTTCCTCTTTCCCTTTCTATTATTCCTCCTAAGAAAGGCATAAAGCAAGTGGAAAAAGCTATTTTTCAATGAGTTAAATTGAATGAAATAAAATAATAAACTTGTAAAGAAATGGTAAGGGTTAATTAGGGTTTGTGTAAAACCTAAAATTATAGTTCCTCATAGATTTTTGCAGGAAAGTTCACTTTTTTAATTCATCACAATAAAATCTGGTAAGGAATACCAACACCCAGATAAAGATTTTCAATTCTGAATTTGAACAAAAGTTTTTTTTTCTCTCACAAATCTTACTTTCACAGCAATAACCCTAGAAATTAGGGTTTTATTAGCTTCTTGATTTTAAGATAGGTAAAAACTAATCAAGGGGATAACTAATGAAGAAAAGAAATAAACTTTCTGAAATAATATTCAAAAGGGTATTGAAATCTGATATCAGCTTCTGGTTAGGGCTTAAATGACTCACTTAACTAGTCTCTATGATTTCTATTTTGTCTTGGTTGTAAGAATCTAATTAGTCATGTCACAAGTGAATTTTCTTAATGTTGATCTTCTATAGCTTTTAATTAATCAATCTCTTTAGAGTAAACAAAACTAAAAATTCATTCTTTTACATAGATTTTAACTAATCATTCTCTTTAGGGTAAAAAAACTAAAAAGTTCATTCTTTTACATAGTTAGAAAACAACAAAAGATGAAGTAATGAAGAGGGTAGTTACTAGTTATCATAATTTCACAGTTGTTGTGTTGGGATACAAGATTTGAATTTGCACAAGATCTTTCAAACAATAGATCAAATCTGTGAAAGTTATAGACTGAGGAAGAAAAAGGAAAGGGTTTTCTTTCTAAGCTCAATGAATGATGTAAATGGAGGCAGAGACAATGTACGACAATCTGTGACAGCCAATGAAATTGTTATGATCATTTTTGTCTTCTTCCATGTAACAACAAGCGTACAACTGTTCTTACTGCCACATCTATTGCAGTGTCAATTCAACGGCTGTGATTTAACTCAGACTGTAAAAAACTAGTACTTTTTTAATATTTTAATAAGTTTTGGATTGAATCAAGGTGGTTAAGAAAGTGTTGTTAAGAGTATTATCCACTGTGCTTAAGATAGTTGTTTCATAGGGTAGAGAAAATAATAAAATAAGGGTCTAAAAATGGTTGAACCAATCATATTTAGGAACCTGTGCCAACGTGGCAGGCAGAACCAATCAGTGGCTCGAGGAAATTAAGGTATCAGAGATTGAATATACTGAAAATGGAAAAAGTTTTTTTTCCTTTCTTTTTAGTATCATATTACATATCCTATCAACTTGATTAAACATCATATCAACTTTGAGGTCAAGGTTTGAGTCTGAGGAATGAGATCTTTTGATGTCTAGTTTTTCAAGATTGTGTTTTAAGGTTCAGCTGGATGATTTGATTTGACCACAGATTATATGATTAAATTCTGATTGATTTATTAATTTACTTTTTTGTATAATGATACTGTTTATGATAATTTTCAGTGTGAAAGCATCTATTGAGAGGTATAAGAAAGCATGTTCTGATACTTCTGGTGCTAAATCAGCTTCTGAGACTAATGCTCAGGTATTTATCTAGCAAAAACTGGAAATTTTATATGTAATATAATGATTAATGAATGAATAAACTAAACCCTTTAAACATGATTGTTTTTAATCTCAGTATTATCAGCAAGAAGCTGCGAAACTGCGAGTGCAAATCAGTAATTTGCAGAATCATAACAGGCGAGTGAATTAGTCTCGTAGTTTTCCATAATTTTAAATGTTTGGAATTAGTGATGAAAGTATTTTAAGAATAATGCAGGCAAATGATGGGTGAAGCTTTGAGCAATATGAATGGTAAGGAACTCAGAAACCTTGAGAGTAAATTAGAAAAAGGAATTAGTCGAATTCGTTCCAAGAAGGTACTTATAATTCATCACAAGATTCTTAAAAGTAAATATAATCCTACTGAATAATACTAATTTCATTTGTTTGTGTTACATCAGAATGAAATGCTATTTGCAGAAATTGAGTACATGCAGAAGAGGGTAATCATTTTCCTTGTATTCATCTTTTAATCAAATTTTCAACTTATATTTTCATTTGGCTATGTACGTGTTAGTTAGTTAGTTACTCACTCGAAGCATGTCGCACCGAAACAAAGTTTTTTGATAAGTTAATTAGCTTCGAATTTGAAGATATATATTATTTGATAACAAACAAGATTTGTAGAATAATTTTCAAAGTATGATAACTAAAATGTACATACATATATATACAGGAGATAGAGTTGCATAATAGCAATCAGGCTCTTAGAGCAAAGGTTTGTGGTTATTTCTCTGTCTGTGCTATACAAAATGTTTCGAGTCATCGTTTCGATTAATAGTTATAACCTTTTATTATGTTTTTTTTATGAGTATCTAGATCTCGGAAAATGATCAGAGGAACAACCATAATGTTAATGTGTTGCATGGAGGCACAAACTTTGAATGTATCCAACCTCAGCAGCAATTCGACTCTCGCAGTTACTTCCAAGTGAATGAATTACAACCTAATAATCAGTATGCCAGACAGGACCAGATGTCTCTTCAATTTGTGTAAGCGATTAATTAAGTTGTTTATCAAATCATCAATTATCTATGTCCTGAATCTGCGGACACTCGACTCATTGTATGCTTGTGCAGTTGATGTGTTTGCGGTTGAGAAGGGCAAAGACTTGGAGTTTCTGGTATTTGAATCTTGACAATGTTATGATAGCGTATGCGTAAAGAAACTATAAGAAAAACTATGAGGAGGGAATTTATTTAAGTACTTCTCTTCAATACTATGTAGTGGCTTTGTAGAATTTCATAAGCACTTAGCCATGTATCTATTATGAAAACTTCTATGATCTGTTTAGCATGTGTATTAAGACATTAAGTATGGAGATTACACATTAATTAATCGATGTGGTTGTCAACCTAATTATACTTTTGATATCGCGGTAGGATCAACCACACAACTGGTTATTTTCACCAGAACTTTATCTCTAGGATATGATTAGAGTTTTCTCGCAATGAATAATTTGATAAGGAAATATTGCGGCTGTACATACAGTTGCGGACTGCAATTTAAAACCATGATGGATTGCTACATTACTGATTATGTCAACTGAAGTACGGCCATTGGTAAACCTTCCGGTAAGACCATCGGGAAAATCAATACCATAAGGTTTTTAATTAGTTTTGGCATCGGTAGCAAGGTCATTGTTATTTCCATTATCTGATAAAGAATCTCCAAAAATGAAAAGACAAGGTACTTGAGGCTCTCCAACAACACATTACATTGCCTGGAGAACCAAAAAAGAACCAGCAGCCATAACGTAGTCTCACGATTCATTTCAAATGTCAGAAATCAAGATTTTGTTATCACTTATGATCCAAGGTATTTTGGGTTATGCACAATTTTATGATAGGTTACTATTGTTTTCCGCTAAAATGTTAGATATTCACCAAAAAGATAAGTGAAGACTCCTACAATTTAGCAACATTGCATCTCTTCTTCTTAAATGCATTCCATTCCATTCAATTGTAATAGGATAGGAGTCATAGAGCTTGGCAAACAATAAAAGAATGTTAATTTCACGTGAACGGGTGTTAGAACAATTTTTTTATTTGAGTTCAAGAAGGCGTTGCAAGTGACACATTCAATTTTATCAAAAATAATTTGAAATTTTTTGGAAATGTACTTTCATAAATCTTCATGTTATGATCACAAACGATATTTTTCAACAAACAATAAAAACGGTTAGATTAAAGAGAGAAAGAAGAAAGGATAAAAAAGAAAAAAGACGGATTAGAGCAAATAATTTACTATTCACTTTCTCATAAGGGTTTATAAATGAATATCACAATAGGCTTCACTCACAATTGCCTTCACTCAACAACCTGAGCAATCTAACATATTTATAGGCTAACTAGCTAACTTATATCACAAACTAACTAAATAATTGATTCTTTAACACAAGACCCAATTTGACATAATAAGTCAACAATATATATATATATATATATATATATATATATATATATATATATATATATATATATATATATATATATATATATATATATATATATATTTCGACATTATATACTAGAACTAGCTTCGACGTTCGACTACAATATGCAACCTTTCGACATGAGCATGTGACCCAACTTTGATTTCATACTTGTCTTCTGTCGAAATCCATAAAAACTATTACTCGACAGAGTTAGAGTTCTACCCAAAATCTCACACTTCCTTCTGCCTACTTAGTCCCATACCTAAAGAATACAAATATCTTTTATGACGAGCAATGCATGTATCAACTTTTTTTTATAAGTAAGATGGAATTCAATGGGATCATTAGGGGTGCTTCAACCCGAAGATACAAGATACAACAAACAACAATAGAAACTCTTGTAAAAAGTTAAGAGGGAATTAATATCACTCATGAAAATTACACTGATAAGTAGGGCCGGTCCGGTTCAACAGATATTGAGGTCAAAGGCGATTTTTAAAATTAAATTTTTTTATTATGTTTTTAAAATTAGTAATTATTTTTTTGTTTAGATTTTTTAGAAATTTTAAAATAAAAAATTATTTATTAAATCAGTTTTATTTAATAAATATTTTTATAAATAAATAGTCAATTTATTTAATTTTTAATGAAATTATATTAATTTTTAATTTAATTTTAATTATTAATTATATTATATCATGATTGAGAAAAAATCAACATTTCCTCTCTTCAAATATCAATATTATTATTATCTGTTATTTACCGTGTTATTTTCCAACTAGTTTTCGTCATAGCTTTTATAAAGTAGTTTTGTTATTTCGCTCTCCAAACTCTAATTAATTGATATACACTTCTTTAATTAATAGGTACACACTTCTATGTATAAATGTAAGCTTACACACTACATAACAATAAAAATATAATAATGAAAAAACATGATAGTTAATGCACCTAATTTATTAAGTTCATAATTTACAAGTAAGTATTATGAGAAAAATTGGAGGCCCAAGGCAAAAGTCTTGGTTGCCTTGCCCTTAGATCAGGCCTGGTGATAAGGCCTATTAGGTTGTAAAACTAACCAAGTCTACGAGAGGATGATAATTCTATCCACCAAATACTTCTGGATTACCTATAGTCTCTTCGAATATAATTTGATTACACATTATTCAAATACACAACATGTCACGTACCAAATCATGAAAGTAGAAGCTTTAGAGCATTTTCCTTTCAACCTTGTTTTCCAATCCCTCAAATGATCTCCAACACTTACAGCCACCAATGGAGGAATTTCAATCCAAGATGCAATCTTCCTCCATACCATGCGAGAACACGGACAAATGACAAATAAATGATCACAATCTTCATTGCACCTAAAACAATATACACAAACTTTACCATGAACATTAGAAATCATGTTTCTAATAGCGAGGTTAGAACGTGTCGGCAAACTATCAAGGATTATCCTCCAACCAAAAATCCTGAATTTTAAAGGAATGGAGGACTTCTAAAGCATCACCAGCCTAGCGGATGTATAGTTAACAACCCACGTCCCAACTGCTACTTGCAACAATCTGCCGTAATAAAATTTTTAAGTGAAACATTTAACAGTATCAAAAGTCCAAATGAAGCAGTCCAATCCAGCCTCCTTTGGATACACACCAGCCAACAGATTCGACATCTCAACAAGTTCAGTTACAACAACATTGTTCAAAGTATCAAAGTTGACACCAAGCGCCTATTCCCAAGCATGATCCACCCAGCGGCCCATGTCCATCACCGTTGCGAGTTTTCGCTCCGAAGATTCATGCAACACCGAAAATAGTTCCTTCAGAGGCAAATTCCCCAGCCAATTGGCTGTCCAAAGTGGAATCAGATTATTATCGCCCGGCCTGCACGAAACTGATTCAGAAAAATAAATGCATCCAAGGGAATCATTGAGTTTCATGAGATGTTTCCACCAAAGAGATTCAAAGTAGAGTAGTCTCGGTGCCACTTTCGAAAAACCCTGCAAATGAAGTTATTGTATCTCAAACGAATTATATCACTCCAAATAGCAGACCTATCACAAAGAAATCTCCAAGTCCATTTAGTGATCAGCGCCTTGTTGAAGAGATCAACTTCTTTGATTTCTTAACCTCCATAATCCTTATGAAGGTAAACCTTTTTCCAGCTTACCCAAGAGATACCAGGCTTATCCAACATACCAAACCAAAGGAATTTCCTTTGGATAGATTTAATAGCTTGTATCACCTTAACCAGGGCCCTGAAAAACGCAATGTGGTGTACTAGCAGATTGACCAAGACCGAGTTTAAAAGAGTGATTATCCCCCCAATAGACAAGCATCTCCCCTTCCAAGACGACAATCTCGCTTTTAGGCACGAAATGATCGGAGTCCAAAACTCAATTCTTATATGATTTCCACAAACCGTCAAACCAAGAAATATGAATGGAAGATAATCCTTCTTGCAAGCCAAGAATTGAGAAGTCGCATTTATAAATGACTCCTTCGCTCATACTTCATAAAGCCTACTTTTCCAAGCGTTAATTTGAAGACTGAAAACATCTCAAACCCCCTTAAAATAGCCTGCATTCCCCATAGATTTTTCCAAGTACCGTCACATATTAAAATCGTATCATCGGAAAACTGTAAAATATTAATAGAAGTATCACCATCCATGTTGAAACATTGAAGAGCACCTATGCCTTCTGCCCTTTTTCATCATAACAGGAAGTCCTTATACTACCAGGGTAAATAAGAAAGGGGACAGTGGATTCCCCTGTCTTAAACCCCTAGACACCTTAAAATCCTTAGTTGTTCCGCCGCTAACAAAAACAGACATGAAATTAGAAAACACACAACCGTTGAGCCAAATAATCTGTAAGTACAGAGTATGCCTAAGAGGGGGGGGGGGGGGGGGGGGTGAATTAGGCTTTTAGGGACTTTTTCCGGTTTTTCGGTATTCTTGAAATTTTACTGGTTAGGTTCTTGGTGATGAATGCAGTAGAAAAAAAAAACAAAGTGGACACCAAGATTTATAGTGGTTCCCCTCACAATCCGAGACTACTCCACTCCCCTTTCAACATGAAAGAGAGTTTTCACTATTATTTAATAAAGTACAACCTATCACACCATCAACCGGTGAGGCCTACTATCAAACAATAAAAATCAACAAGTGTACAAGAACAATCCTCTTGTAAACACTCACCCTTGTGTCCAACAATCCTGGATCTCAAGTCAAAATACAAGTAATCTGAATACTTTGATTTGAGAGTAATAATGGTAATATCAATGCTGAGATTGATCTTCTCCTTCTGATCAAAATTCACTCATTTAATTTCAACACAAGTGTTCAATGTTATGCATATGAAAGATATGATCAATATGAACACTTTTGAAAAGATTTGAAAAGTATTTGAAAGTGATGAATTTGATTCAAAGAATTGTTTTGAAATTGATTATTGGAGAAATGTTTTTCAATTTGAAAAACTCAGAATTTATATGTGTAAACACACCTTTTCCAACAGGTATATTTGAGTATAATTCAAAATATGAACTGGTATAATTTTCAAACCATTTTTGAACTTGAAACAAAGCCATTTTTCAAAATACGTTCAATGTTCATCGGTTAACCTATATGGTTAATC